CCGCCCGCGCGCTGCTCCCGTCGGGGCGCGTGGGGCCGAGTTCCCGCAGCTCCGCGCTGAGCCTGTGGCCGGCGCTTTTGCCAAAACCTGCGGGGCTGCGGCCCGTCCCCGTCCCCGCCAGGCCCTGCCGCTGGCCCCCGCTGGACAGCCGCGCAGGCCGGCCTCGGGCTGTTCTGTAGGGTGAGCCCCAGGGGCTGTGACGTCTGTGGGCCTTTAATACCCTTTATCTAGAACGCCCGGCAGGCAGGTGGAGTCAGTGCACATCCCTCACCTGGCGTTTGAGGACCTCTTTTTGAAAACAGTGGGATTTATCGGGGTGACATTGGTGAATAAAACTGTGCAGGTTCCTGCCCCGCCCGGCCTCGCCGAGCGGCAGAGCATCCACCTAGGGCCCAGGAGATCGCGGTTGATTCCCGGCCGGGCCGATCGGTGACTCTCATCACTGTTTCTCTCTCCCTGCCTCTCTCTGAAATCAATAAAGATACATTTTTTAAAAACTATATAGGTTTCAGGGGTACAATGCTATAATACATCATCTATACCGAGTAAATCTTGAGCCTCGTTTCTAGAATGTTTTTTTAATATATCTTTATTGATTTGAGAGAGAGGCAGGGAGAGAGAAATATCAATGATGAGAGTCATTGATCGGCTGCCTCCCCCACGCCCCCCACCAGGGATCCAGCCGGCAACCCTGGCATGTGCCCTGACCGGGAATCAAACCAAGGTATCCTGGATCCCACGTCAATGCTCAACTGCTAAGCCACGCTGGCTGGGCTAGAACAGGGGTTCTTAACCTCGGGCCATTGGGTCCTAGAATTTAGGGGTCTGTGAAATTAGACGGGGGAAAATTGCCATCTTTATTTTTGTTGAACTGGTTCCAGCTGAACTTTCCTTTGGTGGTAGTCGTATCAGGATGGGACTAGCAGCACCCAGGCTTTGTGTTGGTGTTGGCGCCCAGGCACCTTCCCAGCTGGTCCCCAGCCCCTCCCTGCAAGGCTTAGTGGAGGCTGGGCCCTGTGGAGGCCACGATATTTGATATTGGGTGCAGCACTTAAATGTCGTAAAGATGTCACCTTTCAGTAGACCTGGTTTCATTTTTCAGTCCTACGTGTGCACATTCTTGTGAGGCAAGGTCCAGGCAGGAGAAAGGCTCAGAGCCACGCCCAGCCTAGCAAAGGCCGCTCACTAGCCACCTACTCCAAGCTGAGAGGAAAAGCTTGCGGTTCAGTTATTGTCTGAGAGGGAGGGAATTCAGACCTTTGTCACCAGGGACCTGGGAGGTAGCCAGCACTCCATGTGCCCCATATCCAGCCCACACTGCCCCGTTTCCAGGCAGACTCGGGTAAGAGCAGCTGTTAGCTCGTGAAGTCACTTTTTCCTTGTCATGAGGGCCACTTACCTTCATTCTTTGCAGGACAGGAATTGTTTCTCACCCAAAGAAGCCTGAGTCACATGGGCTGAGAAAGCAGTGGCTGTGGGAACACACGAGCTGGAGTCCAGGAAGGCGGCTGTGATTCGGGCCGGGACCTCGGTGAGTAGGACTCTCAGCTCAGGACCACCTGACCCCCATCTCCTTCCAGCTTTCAAGTGTGATGCCCGGCGCAGCCCCTGAGGGTCTTGGTTGCATCCGAGTGCCCTCTGTTAAGTCTGCTGACGTTTCAACTTCAGGCTAGTTACCAGGTGTGGGTTTCATGTGAGCTGCCATCATCCGTGTTGAGAGGACCCTCCTCTGTGGTGCTGAGCTCTGTGTATTCCTGTACGGTCCTTGTTTTTACTGCCCTCCTGTATTGTGTTGTGTGAAAACCCCGTCGTTGATATGCTCACCCTGCTGCGGGCAGACAGCTGGGTCCCCTGGGTGTGGTGAGGAGCAAGCCTCCACGGTGCCCCTGTGCAGAAATCCCGCCCTCCAGCCAGAATTGCTGGTTTGTAAGGATCTGCAGATGTTTGCTCTTGATTGATCTTGAATATCTAATTCTTTTTTTTTTAATGTATTGATGAGAGAGAGAGAGAGAGACATAGATTCACTTATTCATGCATTCACTGGTTGATTCTTACACGTGCCCTGACGAGGGATCGAACCCACAACCTTCCCGTATTGGGATGGTGCTCTAACCAGCTGAGCTACCTGGCCAGGGCCACACCCCCGTCTGGTGCTTATTGGCCATTTAGAGATCCTCTTCTGGGACATGTGTTTTTGCCCATATTTCCCATGGAGTTGTAGGAATGGTTTATATATTCTGGATATTAATCCTGCGTAACGTTGTAACTGTCTTCTCCCAGGTTGTCACTTGTTACTTGAGTTTGTGAAACATTTTGATGAAACGAAAGGTCTTAATTTGGCCACTGTGGTCTGTTTTGTTCATGTTTGCTTGTATGGGCAACACTCTTTGGGTTTGGACTACAATGTTCCTACCATGGGACCAGAAAGACATTCTCTTCCTTTTCCCTAATCGTGAGGTTTCACACAAGAGCACCCCCTGAGGCTCTTTCTCCACCCCTTGTGTCTCCCATGGGTGACAGCCCCACCTTTCTCAGAGGGTTTGGTGGGGTGCGTTGAGCTGATGGTAACTGCTCTGTGGCAGTTACTAATTTTTACTGTTTGTCTGGAATTGTGAGGTGAGGGTCCAGTTCCCTCTTCCTGGTCTGGGTAACTGCTCTCCAAGTGTCAGAGGCGTCCTTTCCCGGTGATTCACAACGCGACTGTCGTGTACCAGCATTCTCTATGCGTAGACCTGTTTCTGGGCCCCGTATTCTTCTGTAAATATTTTTATTTATTTTTTTTAGAGAGAGGGTGGGAGAGGGGGAGAGAGTCACATTCATCGGCTGCCTCTTGTACACCCCCTACCTGGGATCCAGCCGCAACTCGGGCATGTGCCCTGACCAGGAACCAAACCAGTGACCTTTCAGTGCACAGGGTGATGCTCAACCAGAGCCACACAGGCCACAGCCTGGTAGTCTCTATTTTGTCTGTCTCTACACCAATATATCACATGACCTGAAAGTCCAAGTCACAGCTCTCGATGGGGAAGCCTCTCCCTCGCCTTCTCCCCGTCTCTACCCTTTGTAATCCCTGGGTAACCTGAGTGCACCTGATAGGGATGTACTTTGAGACTAAATATCTTATTTATCAGCTTCTACGTGGTAGTCTCAGCACATGTTGGTGATTCTTGCCTGAGTACATTGTTAGCAGGGTTATCGGGACAGCTGCCAACGGTGATTTCCTAATCCCCTCGGGCTTTTATGTCGATGGTTCTGTGCTGTGAGGAAGAGCTTTCTCTTCTATCCACTGACACACCACTGTGGCCCTGCAGGGTCGGCCCTTATTTCATTCAGTGGGTCTAACTCCTTACTGTCATGTTTGCTCTCCTCCTGCCCCTGAGCTGTGCTGGAGGACGGTCCCTCACAGGTGCCCCTGACCTTTCACATGTACCCTACCTTTTTTTCTTTCCAGGCCCCTCAGGCCCCAGCCCTGGAATTGGCCATTTCTTGGCGGAGGCTCGGCCCTTCCAGTGGAGAGAAACGTAGAAACTGGGGTCAGGACAGTGGGGTGCTTGCTGCCATCGGGTGTTATTGCCTCCAGGCTCTCTCCGTGGGCAGAGCTGTAAAACAGACATGGAAATAGATGTGTTGTGCACAGGTTCATATACACATGTACACCCCTGTCTCCCTACCCATCCATCTTTCCATCCATCCATTCACCGTCCATCCGTCCATCCATCTGTCCAACTGTGAGTTTTTCCCTGGCCAGTATGGCTCAGTTGGTTGAAGCATAGTCCCACAGACCAAAAGATTGCGGGTTCGACTCCTGGTCAGGGCACATAACTAGGTTGCAGGTTTGATCCGTCAGGGTAGGTGCTGCTAGCAGCCGATTGATGTTTCTCTCTCACATTGATGTTTCTCTCTCTCTTTCTCTGAAAAGCAATAAGCCAGTACATTTAAACAAAACAAAACCCCATGAGTTCTGATACCTCCGTTCAGCCCAACAACACAGGATTCGTTCTGTGTAGATTATCTACAGTCTGTTTACTTACTTGCTCAATCCAGAATTCCCAGCCTGTGACTCGGCAAGAAAAGCCTCCCATTTAGAGGTCGGTGTTTGCTCAGAGGTCGTTCTGTCTTCAAGCTGAACGCCTGGCTCCGTCCTGTGCTCAGAAGTTTCCTGGGCTGGTTCCTTCCCTCCTCTGTTCGGTGTCACCGTGCTAGCCACTGGACTTGTGGTTTGCTTCATGTATTTGTTTTGGTTCACGTGTTGCATTTTGGAGATTTTTGTTTCCAGAGATTTTATCATTTTTTAAGCATGTGGAATACCATCCCTGCCTAAAAGCCCCATTTGAGAGCCATTCCCTCCCCCTCCTGCCCCCCCCGCTAACCCGCCTCACCCATCCTGCCCTGTTTTTCTCAGTGTATCTCTAACGCTGCTGACTGGGGGAGACGTGTCCTTCCTGCCTCACTGCATCGAGCCCACCCTTGGATGTTCTGTGGTTTCATCACAGTGCGTCTCCACGTGGGTTTCTTTTTATTTATTCTGCTCAGGATACGCCGCGATTCCAAAGCTCATGTTTCCCAGCTGTTCTCAAAACGTTGCCTTCTTACCTCTTTAAATAGCTGTCTCTGCCCAGCCAGGCGTGGCTCAGTGGTTGAGCGTCGACCTAGGATCGCAGGCGATCGGGGTTTGATTCCTGGTCAGGGCACATGCCCAGGTTGTGGGCTCAATCCCCAGGGGGGGCGTGCAGGAGGCAGCCCATCAGTGACTTTCTCTCATCATTGATGTCTCTACCTCTCTCCCTGTCTCTGAAATCAATAAAAACGTATTTTAAGTTGCCTTCCCTGTTTCCCTGCTGGGACTTCCATTCTTTTATTTCCTCCGCAGTTTGGTTTATGTCTCTAACATTTTAATTCCGGTGTCTATGCTGCATTCCAGAGAATTCCCTCAGAGAGTTTTTCAAATGCAAAAACTCTTTATTCAGTTCGGTTTTTTCTATTTAATCCACCAATTGAGTTGTTTATTTAAAACTTTTTATTTTGAGAAACATGAAGCCTTACAGAAGAGTTGCCAAAAGTTTACCTGTGTAGCCGCCTCCCAGCTTCCCCAACGCCAACATCTTTCGTGATCTCATGGCGACCTGAGCTGGGAAATTAAGCAGGTGGAATACTATGAGCTAATCTGCTGGTGCCCCATTCAGGTCCTTGTCCTGGTCTCTGGTCTGTCTGGTCTCCTCCAGCTTGACTCGAGCCACCAGCAGGCTGTGGATTTGTCTGACATTTTCTCGTGATGGCTTCAGATGATGGGGGAAAACCTGACACTTTTCACGTCTCAAGTCTGGCAACTTCTACTTTGATCCTTGGTTAAGGGGTGTCTGCCGCTCGAAGGTGGAGTTACGCTTTTCCCCTCTGTACTCGGTAGCATCTCGTAGGGAGGAGGTTTGTGCAGGTGCATCGCTGGCTTGTCTCAGCAATTTCATCAAGTTGCTGTTTCATCTCTAGATGCCCACCTTTGTCCCTGTCGTTCCTGTGTCTCCTCTGCCCGACCGTCCTGTCCACCTCAGAGCTTTGGGACTTGCAGTCCTTGGCTCTGCCTGTCCCTCCTGGGAGCTGCCAGGCGGCTTCTTCCCCCACTGGCCGCCTCTCAGTGGGGTAACCTGTGATCCCTGATCCTTGTCTGTGAGTCTTCATCTGCAAAGGCCCCCGGGCCTGAACTGTGCCAGCTCTCCTGAGCATGTGGGGTGGTGCGTGGGTGGCCAGGGCGGGGCCTCTGCTGGGGTCACTTCAGCCTCTGTGGGGTGTGGCCCGAAGCCGCCCAGCACCTCGAGCTCCTCCATGTCTGTTCCCACCCCTTCTGCCCTCGGGGTGAAGCCTGAGGCCCCTGATGAGCCCATGGTTCATTTCCGAGGGCCATTTCTGCGCAGCAGGCGTAGGACAGTAGCAAGTGCCGTGACAGGGTCCCGGAAGAGAGCGACCTGGTGCTGTTGGGGCCTTGAAATGAGGACTTGGCCTGATGGGAGGTTCTCCTCTTTTTAAATCCGCACTGAGGATATTTTCTCTATTGCTTTTCAGAGAGAGTGGGAGAGAGAGAGAGAGAGAGAAAGAGACACATTGATTGGTTGCCTCTGAACCGGGGGATCAAGCCTGCAACCGAGGTATGCGCCCTTGGCTGGATTCGAACCCAGGACCCTTCAGTCTGCAGGCTGACGCTCTGACCACTGAGCCAAACTAGCCAGGGCCACATTTACATTTTAAATTAGTGATGAAACTTAGGGATGTTAAACATCACCTGAGTAACGTGTTCGCTTTCCTTACCCTTTCAGCCACGCTCCCGCCCTTTGCCGGTGGCATGTGGAGGTCCTTGTGGCCAAAATAAGGACGTGCCGGCTGGAACATCATGTCGGTGCCCGCAAAACCCCCGGTTCCAGCAGAGCTGGCTCTGGGCCCTGAGGAGACGCCCCAGGGAAAGCTGCCCCTCGGCTGGGGCTCTCTGTTCGGCCACCGAAGTGAGAAGATCGTCCTCACCAAGAGCGACAGAGCCCCTGAGGAGGGGGTGCTCACGGTCACCATCACCGAGACCACCGTCATCGAGTCGGACCTGGGCGTGTGGAGCTCGCGGGCCCTGCTCTACCTCACGCTCTGGTTCTTCCTCAGCTTCTGCACCCTTTTCCTCAACAAGTACATCCTGTCCCTGCTGGAGGGCGAGCCCAGCACGCTGGGTGAGCAGCCACACCT